GAGAGAGAGAGAGAGAGAGAGAGAGAGAGAGAGAGAGAGAGTCAGTTATTAGGTTCAAATGCTTACCTGTATTTGTAAGGATTGGGCAAAAAGTAAGTCCCTCCCCCATAACGAACTATATATAAGGGGTCAGAAATGGATCCCTTGACATCTGAGCCTAATGGTTAGTTGTTTGTTGTTACGGTGCTAAAAGGAGGAGGAGGAGGTGTTGTCAGGATACCATCCTCTGGGGTGAAAGGGCAGTTTCTGTAGATGTCATAGACAAGGCTTCTGGTTGGAAGCTGGTTCTAGTCGGTTGAGAGTTATGGCCCACAGTGACTTGGGGAGGGGGTGGGATATTGAGGATAACAGAGAGCTGTGGAGAGTGGAGCATGGGACAGAATGAGGGAATGAGGGGACGGAATGGCTAAGGTGAAGTACTCTACTCACATGGCAAGCAGAGGACAAATAACTTAGACACTTTATAGAAGAATAAACTCCTTCCATCACGTGGGTCCCAGGAATTGAACTCAGGTCATCATGGTTGGTAGCAGGCACCTCTATCCACTGAGCCATCTTGACAGTCCACATTGAAGTTCTTTATAAAGGAAGTTATACTATATTGATACAGAATATGAAAGAAAGCTTGATACTCAGTTGTTTTCTCAGCATTATTTCATCACTTGGGACACCATACCAAAAGAATCAGCAATTTTGTGACATCCTGTTATAAATTAGTGCCTGTAATAACAGTTTCTTGTCGGTGGCTCTTGATTCTAGTAGATGTAAGAATCTTCATAGGCTGGATTGGCAAACTTTCTCTACAGGATGGAGTGGACAGTTTTTGGTGACTCAAAGGCACGTGGTTTTTTATGCAAAACCAGCTGTAGATAACACATAAACCAAATGAAATAGCAGTGTTCCCAGTGCAACTTTATCTTGGGTGACTACAATTTTAATTTTATGCAACTTATATTTTGTTAAGTGATATGTGTTGAGCTGGGCAGAGTAGCACACACCTTTAATCCCAGCATTCTGGAGGCAGAGGCAGGCGAATAGATCTCTTCAAGTTTGAGGCCAGCCTGGTCTACACAGTGTGTTCCAGGAAAGCCAGAACTATATGATGAGTCACCAAAAACAAAACCAAAATAAAATATTAAAACCACCAGGCATGGTGGCTCACGCCTTTAATTCCAGTACTCAGGAGGCAGAGCCAGGCAGATTTCTGTGAGTTTGAGGCTAACCTGGTCTTGGGGGGAAAAAAAAGTTCAAAGCCATTCTTACTTCGATATGGGTAGAGGACTATATATATAGTGTGTCAGTCTATGCTCTTCAAAGACACCTTCACACACACACAAACACTGCTGCATTCTTTATTTTATTTATTATTTTCAAAGACTTATTTATTATGTATACAGCATGTATGATTGCTGGCCAGAAGAGGGCACCAGATCTCATTACAGATGGTTGTGAGCCACCATGTGGTTGCTGGGAATTGAACTCAGGACCTCTGGAAGAACAGTCAGTGCTCTTAACCTCTGAGCCATCTCTCCAGGCCTGTATTCTTTATTTTTAATATAGTTGAGTTGTATTCTGTGTTCACAAGTGTGCTTGTCTGAATGTCTTTGTACCATTTGTGTGCCTGGTTCCATGGAGCCATCCTGCTGGCCTTGGCCTTTCTTTCTTTGCTCTGGTTTATCCTTCCTGGTATGTGCTCCGTTTTCATTTCAGAAGCATAGTCTATGCATATCTATAAGGGAATAATTGTCTCACTAGGTAGATTTGATAATGTAGGTCTTATTTATTATTTTGGAGATAGTCTTGGCTGTCTGACACAATTTGCTCTGTAGACCAGGTTGACCTTGAGCTCAGATATGCCTGTCTTTGCCCTCCAAGTGCTGGATTTACCACACTGGGCCCGTCTTGTATTCATGATCATTCTGTTTATTCTTGAATATAATCTCATGACAAGGATTTTTAGTTTTGCTTATTTGGATTTTTCTCCATTTTTTTGAGACCTCCAAAGAAGTGCAGAGTCGCTGGCTGCTACCCCTGCCTAACTTGTGTCCATTTCCAAAGTTTCCTTTCTTAAAAAGACCATCCTTCATCCATACTGATTTCACAGTAGATGACACAGTTCCAAGTCCTTATGTTTACTGCTAGGTAGTGAGAAAAAGCATGAATTGCTTGAACATGTTTAGCTTTTGTTTGTTTTTCTTTCTTTTAGTCAGCCTTTTTTTGGGGGTAGGAGGGTGGGACTCAATTTGTAGTCCAAGTCGGTTTCAGATTTGCAATAATCCTCCTGCCTTAGCTGACCAAGTACTAGGATTACGCAAGTACCCCTTATTAAATTTTGTTTTGAGGGGCTGGAGAGATGGCTCAGTGGTTAAGAACACTGACTTGTTCTTCCAGAGGACCTGGGTTCAATTGCCAGCACCCACATGACAGCTCACAACTGTCTGTGACTCCAGTTCCTGAGGATCCGACATCCTCACGCAGACGTATATGCAGGCAAAACACCAATGCGCATAAAATTAAAAAAAATTAATCATTAACAAAGTTTTGTTTTGAGGCAGTGTCTCAGCAAATTTCCTAGGCTGGCCTCAAACATGGACTCCTTGCCAAGATAGCTGACATTGTAGGTGTGTGCCACCATCCAGTTTTACTTGACTTTGTAAAGTTTGCTAAGTCTTGATCTCATGCCTTGATCAGCAGTATGACATCACAGTGAGGCTTTTAGTCACACAGTCATGGGCTCCACTCTAGACTTAAGTTAGACATCTGGCTGAAGGCATAGCTCCGTCCTTGCCTAGATGCACAAGGCCATGGGTTCAATCCACAGCACTACGGTGTTGAAAAAGACAAGGCCAGGTATGTTGGTATGCCTGTAGTCTCAGTGTTTGAGGGGCGATGGCAGGAGGATTCATTCGAAGCCATGATGAGCTACATAATGATCCGGGAGGCTAGCCTGGGTTACCTAGCCAAACTGTCTATCTGAAAGTTATCTGGGGCTGGAGAGCTGGCTCAGCGGTTAATGGCGCTGGTTTTTTGAGATGACCTGGGCGGGCAGTGGTGGCGCATGCCTTTAATCCCAGCACTTGGGAGGCAGAGGCAGGTGGATCTCTGTGAGTTCAAGGCCAGCCTGGTCTCCAAAGCGAGTTCCAGGAAAGGCACAAAGCTACACAGAGAAACCCTGTCTCAGGAAAAAAAACAAAACAAAAACACAGAGAGGACCTGAGTTTGGATCCCAGCACCCACATCAGGCAGTGCACAACTGCCTGTTAACTCTGGCCCTAGGATCTAAATGCCTCTTCGAGCCTCTGGATGCTCACACATACTTGTTCAGAGACACATAAAAATAAGACTAAATCTTGACCAGTTTTCAGGTGTTTCTCAGTCATGTTTGTGTTCACACTGACTTTGAAGAGTCCAGGGGCTCTGTGTAGCTGACCAGTAACTGCATACTTTTGTGTGTGTCAGATATGAACACAGCAAGCCACTGAAACAGGAAGAAGTGACTGCTACAGATCTGAGTGCGAAACCACCCCTTGCCGCTTCCTCAAGTCTCTCTTCGGGAGTTGGATCCCTTGCTGAAATGAATCCAGGCGAAGCTGAGTCAAGAAACCCAAACTTTGCAACTGTAGGAGCAGGTTCAGAGGACTGGGTGAATGCCATTGAGTTTGTCCCCGGGCAGCCCTACTGTGGCCGTAGTAAGTATTGTGAGGACCCTGTAAAATGCAGTCAGAGGACTAAATGACGGGCCACAGTGAACTCAGTTTCAGTTCTGTTTCTAGTGTTTGAGTTTAACCGACTGTCAACACTTTAGAGTGGGTTATTTAAGGTTTACAGATGAAGTCAAAGAAATTTTTTGAACTCCAATAAAGTGAATTCATGTTTAAAAACTGAAGTGTCTCCGAATGCTGTCCCCCGCCTGCTCCTGGTGGTGCTGGGATCAAACCCTGGGCTTTGCACATGCTAGACAAACGCTTTACCATTAAACTAACACACTCAGCCCACTGCCAGTCCTTTGTTTGGTTTGGTTTTTTGATACACGGTCTCTGCTAGTTCAGATTCCTCAAGTAGTGAAGGATGGCCTTGAACTCCTGATTCTCCTGGTTGGTTGTTGTATTCCACTAACCAATACTTACTAATATTACATTTCACTCAAGAAATTCACATGCAGAGCCGGGCTTGGTGCCACACACCTGTCACACCAGCTTTGGAGAGGCTGAGGATTGCTGAGTTCAAGGCCAGCCTGGATATTCAGATCCAGGGCGGGCGCGGGTCGGGGGAGAAGCTGGAGAGTGGGGGTGCATGCCTGTAATTCCATCACTAGATATTCGGAGGTAGGCAGATAGCAAGTTCTAAGCCAGTCTGGACTGTACAACCTTGTCTCAAAAAACCAAGGGGAAAAGCAAGCAAGTGACTATTTAGGAGGCCGACTTTAGGTTTCATTGAAGTGGTTTTTTTGTTTTTTTCATTGTTGTTCTCTGTTGCCTTAGTTCATATTTGTGCCGTATGTATTTGGACCTTTACTACCATCTTAAACATTTTCAGCTGCCCCTTCCTGCACTGAAGTACCCCTGCAGGGCTCAGTGACCAAGGGAGAGTCAGAGAAGGAGCCGGCTGCGGTGGAGACAGAGAAGCAGCTTTGCCCCTATGCTGCAGTGGGAGAGTGTCGCTATGGGGAAAACTGTGTGTATCTCCACGGAGACTCCTGTGACATGTGTGGCCTGCAGGTCCTGCACCCAATGGATGCTGCCCAGAGGTCACAACACATAAAAGTAAGTGCCCAAAGAAGCTGTTACTGAGTATGAGGAGCCCATCAGTGGCCATGTGTTTCTCCCAGGGTTTTGTAGAGTTCTGTCCAAGAAGTCCAGCTTCCCACTCAGCATAGTGATGAACCCTTGTCATCCCGTATTGTGGAGGCCAAGGAAAGAGGGTCTGGAGAGTGACTGACGATAGCAATACACTTCCTGGAGACTATGGGTTTTTTAAAGATGTGGTGTTTGGTTTCTTCATCCTTTTTTACCTTATAATTCTTTTGAAATGCGTATTTCATTGCTTTTTAGTATATTCATAACATTCTCCAGTCATTACCACAATTCTAAGGTCATTTTCATCCCCCAGAGAAACTTCATACCCACTTATAGTCAGCCTCTGCTCCACTTTTCCTTGAGCTCCTGACAACAATGGCTCTTTTTGTTTCCCTGGGTGTTTTGCCAATCCTGGATGATCTGTGTAGCCGAGTCACTCAGTATGTTGACTGTCAGTAAGCACGATTTCCCAGGGCTTTCCTTGTTGGCGTGTGTATCGGTCGGTAAGCTTCGTTTTGTGGTTGCGTGCTGGCCATTCCACGCTGTAGGTTTACGTGTAGGTGTGTTTCCACGGAGGCCGGAGGTTAACAATGGTGTCTCCCTTCCTCTGTTGTTCTCTGCCTTAATTTTTGAGGCAAGGTCTCTCGCTCAGCCTGGAGTTTACCGATTGGATTGCCTATCTGTCTATCCCCATGTCTCAGTGCTGGGGTTGCCGATGCCCATTGTTGTGCCTGGCTTTCAGGTGCATAGAGTCCAGACAATCCTAGGTGCCTGTGCTTGTATGTACACTGAGCAGTTTGCTGACGGACGGAGTAATAATCCTCCCAACCCCAAGACTGTGTTTTTCTCTGTTCATTACTTGATGGACATTTAGATGGTTTCATCGTTTGGTATGAATATTTATTTTTTAACTTTAATGTTTTTTGGTAGGTGGCTGCTATGGTGTTACGAACATTTCTATTTTGTGAACATGTGTCTTTATCTTAGATAGTCTTTAAAAATTATTTTTACATTAATTTACTCATTGTGGGAAGGGTTGCATGTCACAGCACACATGTGTAGAGGTCAAAGGACAGCTTGAGTGATAGTTCTCTTCTTCTGTCAGTGGACCCGGGGGTGGAACTCATCTTGTCAAGCCTGGCAGTAGATGTAAGCTGTACCTCAGGCTGGCCCTGCGTTGGTTATCCTTTGGAAGTGTAATCACTGGGTCAACTAATAATTCTCCTTAGCACTTTTGAGTACCTGGCTAGCTTTGTGTAGTCCTGCCCTGTTTACATTGCCGGTGGCGATGCCCAGAGGTTTATCATTTTGTGTGTGTATGTATGTTCACCACGTGCATGTAGTGCCAACAGAGGCCAGAAGGGGTCAGATCCCCTGGAACAAGAGTATTGAGCTGCCTTGTGGTTTCTGAGAATTGAGCCAGGTCCTTTGAAGGAGCACCTGGTACTCTTAAATGCCAAGCCTTCTCTCCAGACCTACACTCAACTTTCTTATTTCATGTGTGCTTGCACAGGCCACAGCCCTTTGTAGAAAAAAGTCAAGAGGACAGTTCTGAGGCACTTTATGTGTGGTTGCTAGGCTTGTGTGGCCAGTGCCCTTTGATAAGAGCATCATTCATACAGTCTCAGAGTGGGGATGGGTAAAGAAAATAGGTGCTAAGAACTCAGACTATTACTCAGCAGTTAAATAAACAGGGAACCTTGAAAATAGATAAGTCAATCAAGCTAGTCTTAGAGCCACAGCTTTGGCAGACCACAGAATAATGGTTGCCCGCATAGAGCAACTGTTAGGAGTATGGGATTGTGAAGGATAATGAGCACATTCTGATGATAATGAGTGGAGAGGTGACAGCCTTCTTGAGAGTACCTGAGTTAATTACTAGTACCCACATCTTGTGACTCACAGCCATCTGTAACTCCAGTCCAGTCCGCGCGCACACACACACACCCCAACAACAACAAATAAAAACCTTTCATATTAAATGATAATTGTTGTACTTCTCTGAAAGTACCAGAAATTATTTAATTGTAAATATTAAATGGGTGAGTTGTATGGTTTTGTGAATTTTCTCAGTAAAGTTGTTTTTAGTGTTTTCTGTTTGTGTTTAATTTGAATTTTTTAGGGGCAATGTCTCTTGGTATTGCCCTTGCTGACCTGGATGGAGCTCACTGCATAGACGAGGTTGGCTATACCTCAGATTTGTGGGGTTCTTCCTGCTTTTGCCTCCTGAATGTTGGGATTACAAGTATGCACCACTGAGACCACCCTCCTTTAAAAGAATACAGAAGTAATGTCCCTGCGTGATTGTCACCCAGTACATGTTCAGATTTATTTTAGTACCGTTCATCTTTTTTGTTCTTGTCGTTTACTTTTTGTTTTTGAGTCAGGGTCCCTCTATATAACCCTGGCTGTCCTGTAACTTGGAATGTAGACCAGCTGTTCTCAAACTCAGATCTGCCTGCTTCTGCTTCATGGGTGAAGGGACTAAAGGTGTGCACCTCCACACCTTACTACCTTTTATTTTTCTTTGGGGACAAGGTCTCATTGTAGCATGGGCTAGCCTGTAGAACTCTTGCCTCTTCTGCCTCCACCTCCAAAGTGTTCAGTATCTAGACAGATTTGAAATGAAGGCTTTCTATTTTCCATGCAGAAACTGAAACATCAATGAAATTGGTCAAGTCTTTGATGGGGAGAACTGTAAGTGTAGAGCTCTCCAGGTCTAGGGTAGAGGGGATTGGAACCTTTCCAGGTCCCAGAAGCTGAGCCCCATGGGGCCTGTAGTGATCTGAGGCCCTCCAGTAGCTGCCTGGACCTGGGCTTGTTGACAAAGCCTTCTTCCAGGTCAGGCGGGAGACAGCCTCGGTGGGCGACTTTGCCCGTGGAGTCTCTCAGGACTGCAGCAGCTGACTGCCTCTTGTCTCTCCCTCCCTCCAGTCTTGCATTGAGGCCCATGAGAAGGACATGGAGCTCTCTTTCGCTGTGCAGCGCAGCAAGGACATGGTATGTGGGATCTGCATGGAGGTGGTCTATGAGAAAGCCAACCCCAGCGAGCGCCGCTTTGGGATCCTGTCCAACTGCAACCACACCTACTGTCTCAAGTGTATCCGCAAATGGAGGAGTGCTAAGCAATTTGAGAGCAAGATCATAAAGTGAGACTCCTCCCCAACCTTCGTTTGTGCTTTCTGTTTTCGGGAAGAATTTAGTATCTTGTGCAACTTCCAGCCAGAAGGACCACATTTAAATGCATGTATTTTATCATGAACCTGGGTGTTCTAACGGGGATTTCTCCTTTGTACTTCAGCTAGCTGCTAGGTTAGCACGCCTGTCTGTTTTATTTGAATGAGGAGACCCTTTCTTTGTATCAGTTAGTAGACTCTTCGTGCTTTTTGAGGAGATTGTGTTTAATGGATTAGACAGTTTAGGCTTCGTGAACAAACATATCTAGCTCTGAATGTATGTTTCCTGGCGTTTTACATTTTCCACTCTCCTATTCCATTCATTAAGCTAGCCAATAATCCACCATCCTTTAAAAACTGTTCTCATAACTGAACAAAAGCCACACAATCCAAACAGAGCAAAGTTACAAGAAATAAATTTATTTAAACGAAAGGAGTCTGTGTGAAATGTCTTCTTTTGGTTTTGTTGGTTTTTGGTTTTTTTTAACTCTCAAGTTTTGTTTTTGTTTTTGTTTTTTGAACTGGCTAGCCATTGAGTTGATGTAAGAAGTTGTTTGTCTTCCCTCCAAAGAAAGGGTCAGGTGTGACTGTGGGACCCCTCTCTGAAATGCTCCCGTGCTTGCCAGTTGCTGGGGTCTGAGGCGGCACACCAGGTGTGTCCTGAGTGGGCCTGGAGGGGGTTCCCACTGCAGCCTGTTCATTGTTTCCAGGTCCTGCCCCGAATGCCGGATCACATCTAACTTTGTCATTCCAAGTGAGTACTGGGTGGAGGAGAAAGAAGAGAAGCAGAAACTCATTCAGAAATACAAGGAGGCCATGAGGTATGAGCAGCCTGGCTCCCTTGGATAGATAGATGAGTGCTGCGCTGTGTCCTCCTACCTCCTTCCTGCCCTCTTTACCTCCCAGGATGCTTTCTGTTGTCACCCAGCACTGCTTGCCCAGTTTGTTCTTGCTTTGAGCTTTTAACCCAGTCCTTGGGTGTATGCCGAGGGACTGTGCCAAGGAAGCCTCTACTCTGGCTGGAGCCTGTGGAGGGACTGTAGCTCATCCCAGGTCTTAAGAGTTGCCTGATGGATTCTTGTGTATTGGGATTCTAAAAGGTTTTCACTCAGGGTTAGTGCTGGTCAACCATATACATTTAAGCCGAGATGTTTCCAGTCAGTGTTTAGAGCACATGTTTCTAAGAACACATCTTTGGGGGGCTGTGCACAGACATCTTGGTTCTGCCCCTGTTTAAAGAAAAGCCCCGGTGATAAGTCAATACAGGCCTGAAGTCCACTGTGAATAAGGGTTGCGATATTTTCCTTTCCAGCAACAAGGCGTGCAGGTATTTTGATGAAGGACGTGGGAGCTGCCCATTTGGAGGGAACTGTTTTTACAAGCATGCGTACCCTGATGGCCGTAGAGAGGAGCCACAGAGACAGAAAGTGGGAACATCAAGCAGATACCGGGTAACTCTCACTGTTTTTTTAAAGGAGGGGAAATCTCACACTGTCAGTTGAGCCCTGCACATACTGGGGTAGGGGAAATGACACTCAGGTCTGGGAGGGAGGCTAGAGGAGAGGAGTCCTGACCAGAGAAGCGGGAGGGATAGCAAAGGAAAGTGCTCAAAGCCCTGGCCCCAGATGTTGGCTGCAGATCGCCAGAGGGGAGGCATTGGTAAGGTGGACTGAGCGAGAAGTCCGGTTCGCCATGCCCGCCGGGCCACACGGTTGCCTTATAAGCAGCAGGATAGAAGACACTGCTCGACAGTGCCACCCCTATCATGGCCTTGTTTCTTACAGGCCCAACGGAGGAGCCACTTCTGGGAGCTCATTGAGGAGAGAGAGAACAACCCCTTTGACGACGAAGAGGAGGTTGTCACCTTTGAGCTGGGCGAGATGTTGCTTATGCTTTTGGCTGCAGGTGGGGACGACGAGCTGACAGACTCTGAGGACGAGTGGGACTTGTTTCACGATGAGCTGGAGGATTTTTATGACTTGGATCTATAGCAGCTTTGCGTGGCGCGTGAACTGGTCTGCGGAGCCCAGACAGTGGCTGTCCCTGTGCTGTGTGGCAGTGCGTGTGGCTCTCCTAGGCAGGCCTCTCAAACTCCAGGTGCTGTCGTGATCACTACCCAGGGCCTGCTCCTACCCCTCCCCTTTCCCTAAGAGTGTGTTGTTTTCTCTGTTTCAAAAGTTACAAAAATAAATCTTAAAGTTAGTTTTTTTGTAACATGAATTTAACTGTCAGACAGTTAGTGTAGGTTTGTTGCGCCATCTGTTTTCAGCCAGGTTGTGTTCGTGGACTTTGCACACTCGTTTTGAGACCCCAGGTTCAAAGGAAAAAGCACTGAGTGTGCTTTGGGGTCCAAGGATAAGGGGCAATTGGGAAAAAAGGGACCCAAGTTGGCAAGTCGCTCTCTGCGCTAGACGTAGGAGGGCTCCTTGAGGTTTCTGTGAGATCTGCACCTTTGTGGTTTGTATCTGTCCCTGCCCTGTAATCCCATCACACGTGCTTGTCCTGTGGTTTGGGGCTCTTGTTTCATTGCACGCAAGGAATACTACTACTGAGTAACCAGAACCCGGTGCAAATGTGTTGAGGTTAACCTGAGAAAAATCTAGAAACACATGAAGGATGCAGTGGCGTTCTATCAATGCAGAGTTGGCAGTTAACTCCCAAGGATGGATGGACTTGGTGGTGAGCGTGATTGAGCGTGTGAGCAGCTTCCCATCTGCATAGGTGCAGTATCCTTAGCCTTAGTGGGCAGACATGGATTAGTGGTTTCAGCCGTGTGTGGCAGGTAGATGGTAAAGGACCAAGCAGTGTGTCCGTAGTTGTTAACATAGCAGTGCTAGTAGTAGCTCTGTCTGTCTGTCTGTCCGCTAGAGAAATGGATCAGCCATAGAGGTTAAATGACCTGCTTATCAGTGCAAGCTAGGTCTTGGACACACCGTTGTATTGAGTGTTTTATGGTCTAGCCTTTTCAGTTGAGGCACTTTTTGGAAAAACCTTTGTCCTCGTTGGAGGGGACCTGTTGTGAGAGTCTGTGTTTGGTTTGTGGGTGTCTGCCTCATTCCATCCCTGAGCTTTGGAAGTAGACAGGTGGATTCCAAACTGAGGTGTTGGTTGTACTAGAGGGGTCGTTTGCAGTAGTAATAAACCATTTCCCACTAAGAAAGGGAGGGTGTGGCCACCCGCAAGACAAGCAAAAGTTAAGTTGCTAGAGTTCCTTGATGGGAATTTCACCTTTGCATTTTGTTGCGCTCTCTTTCCGGAAATAACTTGAGATGCTCGGATTTGTCCCTCTGCCTTGCTTCCCGGAACACACCCGTTCTTTCACTTAAGAAAAACAAGTCATCGTGGCCGAGGTCTCTGTACTTTGCAGCTGCCCTTTTGTAAGAAGCACTTTTCCCAAATAAAACCATTTAAAAGAAAGCTGGTTTTCTTGTTTGTCTAACGACCTGTTTTCAAAACCACAGATCTGAGAGCTGTCACATCTTTACTCAGTCATGTAGATTGCCTGGGGAAAGTGGGTCTCTTTTTTTGTTTTTCTGAGACAGGATTTCTCTGTAGTCTGGTGCCTGTCCTGGATCTCCCTCTGTAGACCAGGCTGGCCTCGAACTCAGAGATCCGCCTGGCTCTGCCTCCTGAGTGTTGGGATCAAAGGTGCGTGCCACCACCACCCGGCCGGAAACTGCCTGTCTTTTTCAAGATGCCTCCCTCTGGAGAACCTGAAGGCAGCTGTGTGCTGGCTGCCCTCACCCAGCTGTTCTACTCTGGTGGGATCTGCAAGACTATCCAGACTGCCTTCATCCCCAAAGTCACGGTCTCTTTCCCGGTACCACGTGCTTGTAGTGGAGCTGCTCCATCGCCCCGCCTGGCTCGGTGGGTGTTTGGCCTGCGTAGATATCTATGCACTACATGTGCAGTGCACACCAAGACCAGAAGAGCGTGTTGGATCTTTTGGAACTGGAGTTAACCGTTGTGAGCCAGTGTGGGTGCTAGGACTTGCACCCAGGTCCTCTGGGAGAGCAGCTAGTGCTAGTGACTGCCGACCACCTCTCTAGCCTCATTCTGTCCCCTTGGCTGGCCTGGATCCCAAGAGTTGCTTCTGCCTCCACAGTGCCTCAGAGATTCAAGGCATGTGCCACCATACCCAGCTACTTGTCATAACTTTGGTTTGTCTGTTTTGAGACATCGTCTTATGTATCCCAGGTGGGCTGTGAGCCTCCAGTATTGTCAAGGATGGCTTTGAGCTAACTCCTGGTCCTCTTCCCTGTACCGCCCAAGTGCCGTCCCGCACAGTTTATGTGGGGCTTTGACTGAACTTAGGGCTGTGATGCTAGGCACAGCTGGACATCCAGTTAACTTTTGGGACAAGGCCTTCCTGTGGAGCTGAGGCTAGCTTTAAACCAAAGGCATGGTGATATTCCTTCAGCTCCCCAGTTTCCCAACCAAATTTTCTTATTTTTAGATTTATTTATTGTATGTGTGTGCATGTTTGGCCCGTATGTCTGTACTGTTTACCTGCCTCTGTCTCCCCAGTACTGGGGTTAAAGGTGTATGCCACCATGGTTAGTCAAAACACCTGTATTTTGGAATCGAACCTGGATATGTTGGAAGAGCAGCCAGTGGTCTTAACCACTGAGTCATCTCTTCAGCTCCAAAGTGAGTTCTAGTCAATGTCTCTAGCCTACCTACACGTACCCCAAATCTTTTTTAAAGCTTAAAGTTCAGGGCCTGGAGAGATGCCTTTGTGGTTAGGAGCTCATTATTGCCCTTGCAGAGGTCCCAAGCTTGGACCCAACACCAATGTCGGATAACTACAACTCCAGGGCCTCCAGGACTCAGGACATCTACACTCACTCGTACACTAACCCACATAAGACACACACGCATAAGTAAAATCTTTTTTTTTTTTTGAAGTTTTATTTATTTATTATATAAACAGTGTTCTGCCTGCATGTATGCTTGGATGCTAGAAGAGGGCACCAGATCTGATTACAGATGGTAGCGAGCCACCATGTGGTTACTAGGAATTGAACTTAGGATCTCTGGAACAGCAGCCAGCAGCCAGTGCTCTTAACCTCTGAGCCATCTCTCGAGCCCCCGTAAAATCATTTTATTCAAAAACAAATTACAGGGGGCCACTGGCTGCTCTTCCAGAGGTCCTGAGTTCAACCACATGGTGGCTTACAACCATCTATAATGAGATCTTGTGCCCTCTTCTGACCTACAGGCAAACATGAGTTTCTTTGTGTAGCCCTAGCTGTCCTGGAACTCACTTTGTAGACCAAGCTAGCCTGCTTCTGCTTCCCAAGTGCTGGGATTAAAGGCTGAAACTGGCTAATATATCAGCCTGGCTAATATATCTTTAAAAAAGCCGTGTGGTGGTGGCAAACACCTTTAATCCCAGCACTCAGGAGGCACAGTCAGGCCTGTGAGTTTGAGGCCAGCCTGGTCTACAGAGTAAGCTCCAGAACAGGCACCAAAACCAGCTTTCAAGAACCCTGTCTCAAAAAACCAAAAAAAAAAAAAAAAAGGTGAGAAAACTGTACCAGAGGTTTGGGGTTGGGAGTAGGCGTGATACGGGTGAAGGAAGACTGGTCGTGACCATTGGTGCTGAGGTTTGGGCTTGGGAGGAGGTGTGATGCGGTGAAGAAAGACTGGTCATGACCGTTGGTGCTGTTTACCCTCTTCTCGTTCTTCCTGTGGCCTTAGACTAAGGGACTGTGTAAGTCCAGACGGCATGAATGTTGGGGATATCAGTTACGCTGAACCACAGGTTTGCATTTCTGTTGGTTAAATAAAATTAACTAACCTTGGGTCAGGAGGCTGAGGTAGCAACTAGTTGACAGAAAGGAATCATAGAGCATCAGAGTGCATCTGGAAGAGATAGAGGGATTTGGAGTGTCATGGCTTTTTTGTTTTGGTGAAGACACCAGCAAGGAGAGAAGGTTAGCTAGTTGCTGCTCAGCCTCTCTGAATTAACAGGTTTTCACCCCTGCCTTTGAATCTTGAGTCTTGTTTATAAGTAGGACACTAGAGATTTAGTTAAAGCTACCTTTAGCCGCAATGGCAGAGCAGCAGACAGAGCCTGCGGGAATTCCGCAGGCCAGCAGAGTCTACAAAGTGAGTTACAGGCCAGCCAGGGGTACAGAATGAAACATTGTCTCAAAAATAAAAGTAAAAACGGAACCTGTAGCAAAAAAGAAACAGATTGGAGAAATGGGTCAGCCATTAAAGAGAACTTGTTCTTCCAGATAACCTGGGTTCAATTCCCATCACCTCCATGGTGGCTGTTGACCATCCCTAACTAGTTTCTGGAGATCTAACACTTTTCTGACCTGGTGCCCCAGGCACACACAAGGAACACAGACATTACAGCAGGCAAAACACTCATACACATGACAAGTTCTGGGTTCTGGACAGATGCTAAACAAACTTGGGTCAAAATCTGTGTGGTATCCAACCAGCTTTGAGAAGCCAAAATATCTATCGGGCTTCAAATCTCTGTAGACCATTTAGGGTTTTTTATTGTTTTCTCTCTTCCTTCCTCCTTCCCTCCCTCCCTCTCTCTCCTCCCCCCTCTGGCTGAGACAATATCTCACTTTGTAGCTCTGGCTGGACTGGAACTAACAGATCCCCCTGCCTCTGCCTCCCAAGTGCTGGGATTGAAGGTGTGCACCAGCTCACCTGGCTAACAATCTGGCCCAGCTCAGCTGAAGCGTGGAGTTGTCTTCAGCTTAATGATTGGGTTTCCTGGACTGCACAGTACATCCTATATTGCAAACCACTAATAATGGGCATTTCTGGGATCAGAGGCAATTTCTCCTTTTAATAAAGTCTCTACAAGGGCTGGAGAGGTGGCTCAGTGGTTGGGAGCACTGGCTGCTCTCCCAGAGGACATGGGTTCAATTCCCAGCACCCACATGGTAGCTCACTACTGTCTGGATAACCAGTTCCAGGGGATCTAACATCCTTAAAGACATGCATGCAGGCAAAATAAAACATAGAAAAAAAAGTTTAAAAATAATAGTTTATGAAAAACTCTCTACAAGCTGTAAATAAAGGGGAAAAATTAGAGCCATGGGAGAGGTCTGCTTGAGCCATTACTCCATGTAAACGCTGACTTTTTTAAAGACTGTATTTGAAATTTTTATTACATCTTTGTGTGTATGTGTGTGTGCATGCATGAGTGTGCTTGGGCAAGGAGTCCGTTCTCTCCCTCCACCAAGTAGGTCCTGGGGACTGAACTCTGGTCCTCAAGTCGTGGTGGATGAGTCATCTCATCAGCTCAGATGTTGGCTCTCAAGACTGTTCGGTGTCCAGCCCCGGGTGAAGGACTAGATCAACATTCTCAGGTGTGAGGAACTGCATTTTCTTCATTATTACTCTCGCAGACAGATCTTTGTTCACCAGTTCACGCAGCCTAGCCTCACTGGCCCCTGGAGCCATGGCAGATGGTTTTTGACAGGCTACTCAGCATCCAAGCCAAGGCTTCTCAAGGCAGGCACTGATGTACACCTCTTACAGGTTCTGCTGGCCGCCAGTATTAGCAAGCTGGAAACCCCACTTGCTACACCACAGCATCCTCAGGGACGATTTATGAACCATGAAATATTAACAAGTATTCCCTCATGCATTTCACACCCCCGGACAAATAAATAAGGAAACATATCTTTATTTTTCCAAAGCATTCTTTGGGGATCTTGATTTTCATGCAACTCCCTGGTTGCCAGATACACAATATTGGGGATATGTGAAAATGGCCATAATTTTATTCTACCCAGCCTGTCCAGTGCTGAGTCTGTGAGGCCAAGTCCACTGGGGATGGTTTTACAGGCAAGTCAGGAGCCTAAGAAGCTTTGGGAAAGCCTGCCCTACTCTTTATAGCAGGCAAGACTTTTGTGTAGATAATCCACAAAATCCCTCCATTCTATACATCTGAGTTCCTTTCAAGTGTGTGCTTGAGAATTTCAACAGTAGCCCAGACTGGTTAATAAGATGTTGCCGGTATTGAGGTGGATTCTTCTTACATGAGTAACCTGTAGGGAGGACTGTCTGAATCCAGATCACTCCCCAAAGTGTATAATCCTAGAAACTGAGAATTTCAGGGTGCTAGTGGGAATTGTAGAGCAAGGAAGAATTGGTGTGCACCCGCAGGGTGGCATTCCAGTCACCTGGTGGTGTGTGCTTCCTCTCAAGGTGCAAATTACTTTGTTGTTTTATGTTTTGATGTTTTGTTTTTGTTTTTTTGTGCGGGGGTGGGGGATTGTCCATCTTTTTTGACACAAGGTCTTACTATCTAGTGCTGCCTGGCTGGCTACACAGTAAGTAAACTTACACAGTAAACTCCCTCTGTAGACCAGTTGGCCTGGAACTCACAGAGGTCCACCCACCTCTGCCTTCAGAGTACTGGGATTGAGTGCTGCTGGGCATGGTGTCACATGCCTTTAGACCCACCATGCCAGAGGTGATCTCTGAATTTTAAGTCCAGTCTGGTCTTGTCTGGTGAGTTCCAGGACAGAGAGGGATATATAGTGAGACCCTGTCTCAAACTAAATAAACAAATAAAGTACCAGCGGTGCTTGTCTTCTGAAGTAGGGTTTCACTGTGTAGTCCTAGCTGGCCTTGAATTCGTGATCCTCCTGGGATTAGAAATGTGTGCCACAATAGCCAGTTGGGGAAATGCCTTTAATCCCAGCACTGGGGAGGCAGGAGGATCTCTGTGAGTTCAAGGCCAGCCTGGTCTCAAAGCAAGTGCCAGGACTACACAGAGAAAGTCTGTCTGGGTGGGTGGGGGGGAATGTGTGCCATAACACTAGCTTTAGTTTTTAATAGTTTGATTGATTGATACAGGATCTCTTATACCCCAGGCTGTTCCCTCTGACTTGCTGCGTAGCTGAGGATGATCCTGTACTTCTAATTGTCCTTTTGTTTCCCAAGTGCTAGAATGATAGGTATGTACTACCACACTTGGTACTGGTGCTTGAAGCCCAGAGTTTGTTTGTATTATTTTGTCAAGTATGCTCTTGCCAGCCCCTGGGAATGCATTATGAGTGTATGTACATGCCACTGTTCGTATTTGTTGTGTGTGTGTGTGTGTGTGTGTGTGTGTGTGTGTGTGTATGCCATTGTGTGTATGTACATGTCATTGTGCATGTATGTATGTACATGCCATTGTGTACATGCCAGTGTGTATGTGTGTGTGTTCATGCCATTGTTTGCATTCGTTTGTTGTATATATATATATATAAATGCATGCCATTGTGTGTGTGTGTGTGTGTGTGTGTGTGTGTGTGTGTGTATGTGTGTGTGTACATGCCATTGTGTGCACGTGGAGGTCGGAGGACAACTTGCAGGAGTTGGTTCTGCGTCTCCACTGTATGAATCTTGCGGATCAAATTCAGGTAGTCGGCCTTGGCCATAAGCACCTCCAACACTCTGAGCCATCTCTCTGGTCTGGGATTAAAGGCGTGCGCCACCACCACCACCACCACCACCACCGCTGGCCCTGTAATTATTTTAAACACATGCTTTAGTCTTCCTCAGATTGCTGAGCGGTCTGAAGTTCTTTGTGAGTTTGACCTCTACTGTCTCCCTGTGGGCACTGAGCCTTAAGGCCTGTTTTCCCAACTGAACAGACCACTTACCACCAGCGTTAGGGCAACCTAGGGAGCACTTGGGCTTTTGATATTCAGTTATCTCTTCTTTTTTAACCCCCAGAGATTGCCACTATTCTTGTGAATTTGCCTATGAAGTTGCAGTTATTTATAAATACATATCCAAGCTAGTCACAACAGAATATATCTGAAGTTCCTGCTACTCAGGATGATGAGGCAGGAGTATTCCTTAAACTCAGGGATTTTTGGTTTTTTTAGACAGGGTCTCTCTATGTAGCTCTGGCTGGCCTGGAACACAGAGAGATCTATCCGCCTCTGCCTCCCATGTGCTGGAATTAAAGATATGCTATAGCTAGACTTTAATTTTAGTTTTTTATTTTGTTTTTATTATTTTTTGTGTGTGTTTGACTTTTTTCAAGACTGGGTTTCTCTTTGTTTGTAACCCTGGAACTCTATAGACCAGGCTGGCCTGAAACTCACAGATCTGCCTGCCTCTGCCTCCTAAGTGCTGGAACTAAGGGCATGCACCACCACACCCAGCCTAGATTTTAAATATTTTAGATGTGTTTTTATGTGTATATGTTTGTGAGAGAGTATGCCACACGTGTGGGTGTCTATGGAGACCAGAAGAGGGTTATCAGATCTCCTGGAGCTAGGGCGGTTATGAGCACCTAACGTGGGTGTTGGGAAGTGAACTCAGGTCCTCTGGAAAAGCAACAAACATTCTTAATCTTTGAGTCATCAATCCAGCCCATAAAAAAGACTTTTTTTAGTTAGGCGTGATGGTATACATCTGTAATTGTAGAACTTGGGAGATGGAAACAGGAGAATCAGTAGTTCAAGGTCCTTTTTAGCTACACAGTGACTTCAAGGCCAACCTAAGATACACAAGGCTGTCTCAAAAAAGTGTGTATTTACTTATTTAGTCATTTATTCATTCATTAATTGGAATGTTGGTGCTTAAACCCAGGGCCTACTGTATGCTAGGCTAGCGCTCTACCGCCAAGCATGTTCTCCCATCCACCTCGCGCCGAGTTTGTTTTTTTATTTGGTGCTTTCAGACATAAATAGTTGAAAGACTTCAGTTACCCGATCTGCATAGCACCGCAAAAGCTGCCTGTCATTTGATGAACAAGTTACTTAGCATTCCTTTTCTTTGTCTGTAGATTGGGAGAACAGTAGGTCTCAAATGGGAAGAATAGTAAGTAGGTCTCTCAAGTGACAGTTCTGAAAATGAAAAGGAAGATGAGCAGTCCTCCATAGTTCCTTCCCAGAATTCCCAGGAGAGTCGTTATAACAGAAGAAATGACAGAACTGGAAGACTACTGTGCTGGTCTTGAAGAAATGACTCAGACAGGTCCCTTAAGCGGGTTCTAAAGCAGTGGGTGAAGTATTGGTGTTCACAGACAGCCAAGTTAGCAGCATGGAGAGAGGTCTCGTGAACGACATCGAAGCTAGGATGTTAGACGTGCTCACCAAGTGCTGTCCCCTCTGTTTGTAGTTCTGAAAGTGGGGACCGCTCCACCACACGATGACGGTAGCAGCTGTTCTTTAGCTGCAGCTTATGGAGGGCGACGACGCAATACTGGTTTGCAAAGAATCTATAGAGCAATTTTTTTTTTTTTTGCTTTTTGAGACAGGGTTTCTCTGTACATTCCTGGCTGTCCTGGAACTCTCTCTGTAGACCAGGCTGGCCTTGAACTCATAGAGAGCCACTTACCTCTGCCTCCTGAGTTCTGTGATTAAAGGCGTGCGCCACCACTGTCTGGAGACTATTTAATTTCAATGCAGCACTGACTTCTGTGTAGTAGATAATTTAATGTTTTAGGAACTCAGGGTAAGCATCTCTTCCACACACACACACCCATGGTCAAACACATGGACGGGGTGGAGCCAGTTCCATCTGCCTCCTGGTTCCTGACCCTTTGGCAAGATGGCATTTCTGGCCTTGAGCCAACAGCCCTTGCTCCCCGGGAAGAAGACCAGGCTGTGGCTGCCAGGAAGCAGTCTGGCTTTTCATTATAGGCCTTCCCCTACCCCGTCCTGGGCTGTTTCCAAATCTAGAACGTTCCAGTATCCTCTCTGCATATTGCTGCTCTCTCCTTCCTCTCACGGCTGTCTTTGTACAACAGAGAAGCAGACTCCACTATAAAACAGTTGGGGTGTTGGGAGACAGAGACCAGGACGGGGAAAGTCCATCCTAACCCTTTCCCCCCAGGGCCTGAGTCCTTATTTCCCCAGGAGTCCATGAGGACAGCGGCGTCCCCTTTCCTCAGAGTCTGCCAGGAGGAGGGCTCGGCCTGGAGACGCTGGCCTCCCACACATGTTCAGCAACTACAGCGGGTGTTCTCGCTGGGGCCCTGGGCCACAAATATTGGGCTGGAATCCTGGGAGAGACCTTGCTGGATGGGCTCCCCGTACAGGTGCAGGCTGTTGCGGGCAATTAACTCCTTCGCCATGAGCACGAAGACTTCATCTATGTTCCGGGACTCCTTGGCAGATGTCTCCAAGACAGCCAGGAGGCCATACTTCTCCGCCAGTGTGCAGGCATCCTCAAATAGGACGTGCCGCTTCGCCCACAGGTCCGATTTGTTTCCTGCAGATGGGAGATGTGTAACTATAACAGTGATATAACCTGCCTTTATCAAACAAACCCTCTCCCCCCTCCCCCTGTCCCTTCTCCTCCTGCTGTCTTTGTACTTTTTTTTTTTTTTTTTGGTTTTTGGTTTTTGGTTTTCCAGACTTTAGAGCCTGTCCTGGAACTCACTCTGTAGCCCAGGCTAGTCTCGAACTCACAGAGATCCGCCTGCCTCTGCCTCCCAAGTGCTGGGATGAAAGGTGTGGGCCACCACCAGCTGGCCTGTCTTTGTACTTTTGAAAATTTTAAAAAATTACATTTACAGGCACAAAAAGCTACACAGAGAAACCCTGTCTGGAAAAAAAAATTTGCATTTATAACCAGGTGGTGGTGGTGCATGCCTTTATTCCCAGCACTCAGGAGGTAGAGGCAGGATAATTTTTGAGTTCGAGGCCAGCCTGGTGTATAGAGTGAGTTCCAGGTTGGCCAGGGCTACACAGAGAAACCTTGTCTCAAAAAACTGAAGGGGAAAAAAAAAGGAAGAAAAAGACAAAAAGATTACATTTATTTGTTGTGTTGGGAGTGTGGTGTACTCATATACCACAGCACATACGTGGAGGTCAGAAGACAACTTTCAAGAGTTATTTCTCTTGGGGATTGAACCCAAGTCTTAAGGTTTGGTGGCAAGTGCCTTTATCACTCAGCCCTCTTGCCCACCCACTCTGTGTTCTTTGAGATAGGTTCTCATGTAGCCCAGGCTAGCCTGAACCTGGTTACATAGTCACAGCCCATAGGTGGTGGCCCAGGCCTTGCTGGTGCTTTTATAGAACACCAAACGTACCGGAAGCTGATGAATTCTCAATTCTGAAATAGTTGTCCCTCACTACCATGTCCAGCCCTTTGATAGACATCCTAAGAGAAATTCCATATGCCTAAGAACCTTATAAGGCAGACATCAGCATAACCTACCACAAGAAGTCAGTCACCTCCCAAACTTTTCTTTTTTTCTTTTGAGATAAGGTCTCAGTGAACTTTGACCTCACTGACTCAGATAGAATGGCTGGCCAATGAACTGGATGGATCTCCCCGTTTCTAGGTCCATGAGTGCTGCAGCACCTGAGTTTGACCTGGGAGCTGAGGATCTGAACTCAAGTCCTCATGTTTTTACGGCAAGCGTGTCATTGGCTGAACCACCTCCCCGGCCCCTCCTGAACTCTCCAGTTACCTGCCTCATCATCCAGAGACCTGGGATCACATGACCAATTTCCAATGAACCTTTTAGTTGGTTTTTAAAGGTTTCACTTAGGAGTTGGCACACTCATAAGTAGTCATTCATTGGCCGGTCACATTCATCTGAGTGGCTCCTGAGACAGGGTTTCCCTGGCTGTCCTGGGGCACTGTGTAGACCAGGCTGGCCTCGAACTCACTGAGATCCGCCTCCCTCTGCCTCCCGAGTGCTGGGATTATAGGCGTGCGCCACCCCACCCCCCACCCCCGGGCCTGTACTCAGGCCAATCTTTATTTAGTTTACTTTATGCTTTATTGTGCACGTGGGATTGAGTTAGTTATCACCAGGAAAGTTTTCACCAAATTGTGCTGTGCTTAAATACGCCTAAAACAAACTACTTGGGGTCAGACTTCTGAAGTCTGAACCAACACCAGCTACGTAGTCCTGTCAACTCAACTGCCTTTTGCCTCCCAAGGATGGTTATTCTGCTGGCTGCGGTGGCCACACTCTCCACCTCTTAGGATTTCATAGTCCACTACTGAGGGAAGCAAGTTGAGCACGGGCAGAGGCGGGTCTAGAAATGCTAACTGCTGGGGAAATGCCCTACCGATCAGCATGATGACCAGGTTAGCCGCTCCATACTTCTCTATCTCATGAATCCAGTGAGGGACAGACTCGAACGTGGACCGCCGCGTGAGGTCGTAGGCGATGATAGCTGCGTGGGCACTCCGGTAGTAGCTTTGGGTGATGGTACGGAAGCGCTCCTGGCCCGCGGTGTCCCACACCTGCATCTGCGGGACGGAAGAGAGTTAGAGCCACGCGGACATCCCTTCATCCAAGTCACCTTACGCATCGTTCCCTGTGGGCTGGCAAGATGGCCCAGTGGGTAAAGGTGCCGCTGCCAAGCCTGAGGACCCGAGTTCGATCCCTGGAACCCATATGACGGCGGGAAAGAGCCAACTCTGGCAGGTGGGCCTCCAGCTGTCACACACACACACACACACACACACACACACACACACACACACAGTGGCAGGCATGCCCACACAGGCACACACGGCAAATAAGTAATATACTTTTTAAAAGAACAAAGCCGGGTGGTGGCAGCGGCAGCGGCAGCGGCAGTGGCGGCACACTCCTTTAATCCCAGCATTTAGGGAGCAGAGGCAGGTGGATTTCTGTGAGTTCGAGGCCAGCCTGGTCTACAGAGCAAGTTCCGAGAACAAATAAATCCCCACATCTTACTGCAATGTATTCAGATTCAGTAGGGCCAGGCAGGGCCAGAAGGTGCTTTCTAGAACTGCATTGATTTTAAAGGACCGCTCAGACCGTTCACATTCAGTAACATCCTTATCACAACGTTCTCCATTGTCCCAAGCATGGGTCGCATCAGCACCAACTTATACACCTTCCAATAGTATCTAAATTTTAAAAAACATTTTTTAAGAATCATTTTATGTGTTTTTACTTTTGTGTGTGTGTGCACCACATCTGTGCCTGGTGTCTACAGAGGTCAGAAGAGGGCATCAGATACCCCAGAACTGGAGGTTATGAAGTGGAATGGATTGTTTTTGATTTTATTCTTTTTTTGAGACGGTTTCTCTGTGTAGCCAGGATGTCCTGGATGTCCTCAAACTCACAGAGGTACACCTGCCCCTGCCTCCCCGAGTGCTGGAATTAAAGGCACAAGCCACCTCACGGCTGGAATACATTGTTATGAACTACTATGTGGGTGTTGGGAATCAAACCTGGATCCTTTTTGAGAGCAGCAAGTGCTGTTAACCACTGAGTCATCTCTCTATACCTGTGTATAAACTTTTTTGTTTTTAAGATAGTCTCATATGGCCCAGGCTGGCCTTGAGCTCAGTATGTAGCTGAGGTTGGCCTGAAACTCTTGATCTGCCTGTTTCCACCTCCCAAGTGCTGGGATTATAGGCATGAGTCTCTATGACGGGCACTGGTCCCTGGCTCATGCTGTTTATATAAAAACTGATCTTTTAGCCTGGCTTGGTAATTACAGCTACTCACAAGGCCCAGGCAAGAGGATTTTGCTTAACATGTACAAAGTCCTAGTCACAATCCCCAGTATCAGAAAAAAATACATGTCTGAGGCTTGGGGGCCATACACATGCCACAGTGCATGTGTGGAGGACAGAAGACCATCTCGGGTCGTCAGGCTTGGTGGCGAGGGCCTTTACCTGCTGAGCCTCGCCAGCCCCTCCCCTTTTACCCGTTAAAGACAAATTGCTAACACGTCATGAACAGGAGAGGATAGAAAAATGAGTCTTTAATCACTGCGACTCAATAATTATCAAGATTTCCTCCTTCAGCATCCTCCTGTGCTGCTCTTTGATAGCCAGTCTCTTCAGCTGGCCGCACATCAGCACACAGACAGGGTATTCTCGTTAGCAGCTGGCCGCACATCAGCACACAGATACAGTAGATATTTTCTTTTTAGTTTTTTTGAGACAGGGTCTCATGAGGTAACCCTGGATGGCCTGGAACTCATGAAGCAGACCAAAGTGCTAGCTATAAATTTGTGGTCATCCTCCTGCCTCTACATTTTGAATTCTGGACTTACCACTACTCCAGGTTACAAATAAACATTCATTTACATAATCACAATACCAACAATTCCCTGCTGTCATCTAATTATCTACACCATATTAAAATTTTCCCAATGATCCCAATATCTTCTTAGGTATTTATTTTGAGGCAACGTCTATGTAGCCCAGGCCGGGTGCAAACTTGTGATCTCCCTGACTCAGTCCTTTCAGTGCCAGGATTACAGGCATGTGACAGTATGTCCCACTACTTACAGTTCTTTGAGAGTAACAGTGGGCGTCTACATATAAATCTATACATGAGTTATTTTTCATTACATTTTATTTATGGTGTGTGTCTGTGCCATGGTACACAAGTGTGTGTGGGTACCTGCAAGCTCACAGTCAGCAGGGAAATGATCCAGGTAAGGGAGGTACAAATGAAACTCGGTTCAGCCTGACTTAATTAGCCAGTGCTGGGCCAAACTTTTGGAGTCTGACACCAGGTTGTTTATTTTAGCCGTTATTTAAACACAGCACAATTTTGGAAGAATGTTTTCTGATGGCAATTAACTCAATCCATTGTGTACAACAAAGCTTAAGACATGTTTACCTGAGACTTTTTATGAAGTACAAATGGCTTCCTCCATAAAGATGGGCTCTGTTGACTTACAAACAGTGCTCAAGATTTAGGGTCTAGGAAGAATGGCTGAGGTAAACATAACGCCTGTGGGAGTCAGGACTGGCCTGGCCTAAGATAAAAGAGAACTCGCCAGGCAGTGGTGGAGCACACCTTTAATCCCGGCACTCGGGAGGCAGAGGCAGGCAGATCTCTGAGTTCAAGGCCATCCTGGTCTACAGAGAGAGTTCCAGGACAGCAAAGGCTACAAAGAGGAACGCTGTCTTGGGTGGGGGAGGGAAGTTACTTAGGCTGTTTAATCAAGAACAAGTGGCATCTCTCCTAAAGGATGGGTTTAATGGACTTAGAGCAATGCTCAAGATTTAGGGGGAAAGTCTGGGATAAAAAAATATAAATTCTAGGAGATCTGGGTGAAGCCTGGCCCTACAAAGAGCAAAGGATTAAACAGTTTGCAAACTACATTTTTTCCCAGGAGGAAGAGAGGGAACATCTCTTTCCCTGAAGAGATAAGACTACGAGTCTGACTTTTCCTGGATTCTCCGGTGCTTATCTGTGTACCCATGGACCTCTTGCCCTCTACACGTGTGTAGGTCAGGGCAGAGTCCTTCCTACTAAGGCCCAGGGAAGGGAATCAGGTGATCAGACTTGGTGGCAAGCTATCATGCTGGGTCTGACTTTGTTCTTACAAAATTTGTGAAGTAAGTTTTTTTCTGGTCTGTGGCCACTTTTTATATTTGGTCATTGGTCTTTTGTCTGTTTATTTTTGAGACAGGGTCTCGCTATATAGCTCTGGCTAGCCTTGAACTCACAAAGATCCAATTCCTTCTGCCTCCCATGTTCAAGGATTAAAAGCATGCACTACCTCATTTAACTCTCTATTTTTGAGGGTCCTCACTATGTGGTAGCTCAGCCAGGCTTGGCACTCAATATGTGGCCCAGGTGGCCTCAATCTCCTTGCCTTAATCTTATGCTGGGATTCTAAATATGTACCATCACACAGTTGCTGGTGTTTTTCTTGGACATTTATCAAAATTCCCTTCGTGTCAAAGAACCTAGTCTTTCTTTCTATTGCAGATATTTGCAGTCTGTCATTCCTCTCTTGACTGTTTATCACAGTTATGGTTTGTAGAAATTATGACCTTTAGGTAGATGTAGCAATATCCTCTTTTATGGCTTCCATGTTTATACCTTGCTTAAAACAGGGGCTCTAGCTCAGACAATGGAACTACCCCTGGTGCTCCTCTGACCTTTACTCTCTTGCCGTCTATGTCGAGGGAGCGCACCGTGAAGTCCACCCCGATGGTATTCTGCTGGGACTCGATGTAGACTCCAGACTTGAAATGCTGCACCACACACGTCTTCCCCACATTGGAATCTCCGATGAGGATGACCTTGAACAAATAGTCCACGTTCTCGTCTGCTGCTCTGGCTGAGCTGGAGAACTGCATGGCTCTGGCTTCCTAGAACAGACCTAGGGAGGAAAGGCGGCAGTCAGTTTTTCTCTAGTGAGCACCTACCAGGCTCCTGCACGGGGGCTCCAGTAGAAGACAAGCTGGGGTAGTGAAGGATGCCAATGACTGTCGAGGCGTAGAGAGTTGCCCCATAAGCCCCCACCCCAGGTATATGTGGACACAGCTTCAGAAAAGCCCTCACACTGATATGGCCATTCTTTGATGGGAACAGAGTGTAGTCAACTTTACCGAATCAGAGACCCGAGGAAATCCCATTCCTGAAGATGAGGTGCCCAAAAAGCAGGATGGTGAAGGTAATGCCTACCTGGCATGAGTAACTCCCTGGCCATCAGTCAGGTGGAAAACATGCCCCCAGCCACCAGAAGCCTAGCTGCCCAGTCAACTCATGACAACTGACAAGATTTGACTGGGAAGCCAGCTTAAGGAAGAGGACACAAGTGCGCTGTGCCTGAAGAGGCCAGAGGTCTTGGGGTGCCCTGGAACTGGAGTGACAGGCAGTTGTGAGCTTGAAGTAGATGCTGGGAACTGAAGTTAGGTGCTTTTCACCTTGGAACCATCTTGCCGGTACCCACGTAGCCTTCTGGGTAGTGCTCCATTTTTCTCAAACAGGAAATTAGAATTTTGAGGATATTTTTAAAAACTTTAGTTAGAAAGATATGGCAGGGCCAGGTGTGGTGGCACACAACTTAAATCCCAGCACTCAGAAAGCAGAGGTAGGTGGATTTGTATGAGTTCAAGGCCAGCCTGGTCTACATAGCAAGCTTTAGGATAGCTGCATAGTGAAACTTGGTGGATGGGTGGGTGGGGGAGAGCTCCATGGGAAATTCTAGCATGGAAAAGAAAATAGTTTAGAGGTTTTTATTTTTATTTTTATTTTATTTGGTTTTTTGAGATGGGGTTTCTCTGTGTAGCTTTGGAACCTGTACTGGAACTCACTCTGTAGCCCAGGCTGGCCTCAAATTCACAGAGATCCACCTGCCTCTGCCTGCCGAGTGCTGGTACTACTGCCTAGCAGCTTAAAGGTTTCTAATGTTGGTATTTGCCAAACTTAATGATTATCAGAATTAGCTGGAGGAGATAATTAAAAATATATATTCTTAGAACCTACCTCAGACCAATACATCTATCTATCTATCTATCTATCTATCTATCTATCTATCTATCTATCTATCTATCTATCTACCTATCTACATATCTATAGTAATTTAACATATATAGTAATTTATGGGGCTGAAGAAATGACTCAGTAGTAGTTAAGAGCATTGCTTGCTCTTTCAGAGGACCCAGGTTTGGTTCCTAGCACCCACATGATGCCTCACCATCTGAAACTCCAGTTTCAGGGGTCCAATGCTGTCTTCTGGCCTCTATGGGCACTGCATGCATGCAGAGCACAGACATATTTGCAAACAAATCATCCATACACATAAGATAAAATAAATACATTAAAAATTTATTTTATGAGTGTTTACATAGAAAAAAAAGTCAGACAGTGCCATATGCTTGTAATCCTGTCTCTGAGGAGGTGGATACAAAGGATCCCTGGGGCTCCCTGGTCAGCCAGCCTAGCACACTCAGTGAACTCCAGGCAAATGATAGGTCCTGTTTCCAAAACCAAAGTGGACGGCGCTGAGGACAATACATGAAGTTGACCTACGGCTGCCACGTGATGTGTACACACATGAACACACACAGATAAAAATTGAAACAACAGACGCACATGTCCCCGGGGTGATTCTGATGGGATTTGAGAACCATCAGTCAATAAGTACACCATTCACCTGCATCTACACTCCCACTTGGCGCAGCTCTGTTCGGCACTCACCTGTGCTTAAATATCTTCAATCTCAAGGAACTCGATTTCTCCTGAAAACAACTGTGCCCTGGGGCAGCTCAGGGTTCCTGTCTGCCATTCCCAGAGCTCCCCTTGCTCTGTAGCAACATGTTGAATTCCTAGTCCACACGATAACTCAGCAGATATTTCAAGCTGCAAGCATATTCCAGAAAGGGCAGGTGCTTCGGCATTTAAACCACCACTCACACATTTTGTTAGGTCTCCTTACCAAATATCTCATGAGACCAAAATCCCCACAATACTTTGGCGATTGAATTTGAGGTTCAGTGAACTGTTCCTGTCCCAAGACACCCTCGCCTCTCATTGATTTATTCTTTGGTTTTCTGATGCCATAGAAAAGCCCATGCCAAGCCAGGCAGTGGTGGTGCACACCTTTAATCCCAGTACTGGGAGGTAGAGCCAGGCGAATCTCTGTGAGTTTGAGGCCAGCCTGGGCTACAGAGCGAGTTCCAGGACAGGCACCAAAACTACACAGAGAAACCCTGTCTCAAAAAACCAAAAAAAAAAAAAAAAAAAGAGAGAGAGAGAGAGAAAAGAAAAGCCCATGCCTATATTGACAGACAAATAAAAATGCATACAAATGCTCCCGTCTATTTTGGCAGACAAATAAAAATGCACACAAATACCTAGTCTATACTTTCGAAGAAACCAAAGGCTTTAAAGAGGCCAGTGACGGTCTGGGCCCCCTGGGTGCCCCTGAGATCACCTACGGAGAGATGATCCCGCAGAGATACAATCAAACCACTTTTTTACCCTTCTGCGTCTTTTCAACTAAAGAAAGCCATTCTACTTCCGGCATCTTACCACTGTAACTGGAGCTGAAACCTTGTTTCCAAGTCTCCTTTCTCTTCTTTCCCCTCAAAGTGCCCGGGCTCTCACAAAAGCCCCCCTTCAAGTTAAAATGCAAGCCCTGCAAGGAGAAACCCGCGGAGTCCTTCCAGACCACACCATTCCACATCCCCGCAGCCTCCACCTCCTGGGTTCACCTGTTGCTTACCTGTCCCGGCTCACCTTGCTGGCTAGCGAGCAGGTAGTGTTTGCTTTTTTTTCTCCTGGTTTCCTTCGCAGCCCTCGGTGCCCTTCTTCCTCCTGCCTTGCTGCAAGGTGGGAACTGTAGTTCCGGTCCCTGGCGTCAGGTTCGGTGGCCCGAGAAAGCGAAAGGGAAAGAAGGGCAATCTCTCCCACCTGCAAGGAGCCTGAAGCCCTAGGTGAGGTACTGGCTAGGACCTAGCGCACACAGCTGGCTTGCGTGCCAGAATTGGTCAGATCAGGAGAAAGCCCAGAGAGGAAATGCCTGTTGCTCAACTGACACCCGTGAAGCTGCCCTGTTCCTTTTCGCTCTACATCCTTCATCCTACATCCTGCCTGATACACTTGCTTGTTTGTTTGTTTGTTTGTTTGTTTGTTTGTTTGTTTGTTTTTTGGTTGGGTGTTAACTGAGATGACATCGACATAACGGAGGACATTGGTCTGGGTCTTGAGTGCCTTGTTTTGAGAAATCACTGGGAGAAAGGAGGTGCTCAAGCAGCTTAAAAAAGTAAACCAAGGGTCCATAAGATATCTCAGTGGGTCAAGGTGCCTGCTGCCAAGCTTGAAGGCTGGAGTTCAATCCCCAGGACCCAACTAGTGGCAAGTTGTTCTCTGATTACACATACATGCACAAACACATGCACACAGGCAAAATAAATAAATGCAAAAAAAAAAAATCCAAACCAAACAAACGAAAAGCCCCTAAATTAAAAGAACGTAGAGCAGTTGGGGATTTAGATTCATGATAGAATACTCGCCTAGTAAGTATTTTTGTTTTGTTTTGTTCTCAGCACCAAAACAAAATAATAAATAAAATAAAGATGCCTTACTGCATACAGGTGTGTGTATGGGGGGGGGGAGGGAGTCTCAAAAGGTCTACCACCTGGCAGAGACTAAATTTTTTTTTTTTTTTTTTTTTCGAGACAGGGTTTCTCTGTGTGGCTTTGCGCCCTTCCTGGATCTCGCTCTGTAGAGCAGGCTGGCCTCGAACTCACAAAGATCCGTCTGCCTCTGCCTCCCGAGTGCTGGGATTAAAGGTGTGTGCCACCACTGCCCAGCACAGAGACTAATTTTTAAGAGTAAGAAAACTTAGAATTGATTAGTCCTCGATGCTGTCAATAGGAGCAAAGATCTGAGATGATTTTTTCCCCTATTTCCACCCAAAGAGTCTATCAGTTCTAGACTGCATCAATTAAGCACTTCTCAGAGCCTATTGTAAGAACTAAATCTTCAAGCTGGAGAGATGGTTCAGTGGATAAGAACTTGCTGCTCTTCCCGATGACGATGACATGACTTGAGTTCAGTCCCCAGCATTCATGTCACGGAGCCCTGACACAGGAGACTATTGTCCCCTGTTTAAGAGCACTGTGTCTCTGATGCCTTCAAATAACCTCTAAGTTGTGACTCATCTTACCCCAAATTGCACCCACACAAGGACTTTCAGGAGTATCTCTTTGAAGCAAGGTCACTCAAAGCTGGGACACTGTCTAAGGTTGCTGCTGCCTGTGGTTTTGAGAGTCACTCTAATATGTGTGACTTGGAAACTGGATATAGGTCAAGATCTGCCACAAATGTGTGGGCTGGGGCAGGAAACAAGGCTCTGCTCAGTCACTGTCATTGAGGAGAGCTGCAAATGTTTCTTTCGTGCTTTTGGTAAGATTTGGCAATGATTATTGTTAAAAACAAAGTCAGTTGACTCAGACCCAGCCCACCTTGCACACTGGGAGAGTGCCTGGAGGTGGAAATCAAGTGTTAAAATAGCCTGCTGGATGCCTGTCTACCTCATTTTGATTTTTTAATTAATTAATTAATTAATTTATTTATTTATTTATTTATTTTTGTTATTCCGAGACAGGGTTTCTCTGTGTAGCTTTGCGCCTTTCCTGGAACTCACTTGGTAGACCAGGCTAGCCTCGAACTCACAGAGATCCGCCTGCCTCTGCCTCCCGAGTGCTGGGATTAAAGGCGTGCGCCACCACCGCCCGGCCTAATTAATTTAATTTTTTATTTATGTGAATGAGTGTGTGTGTGTGTGTACCTGAGGAGACCAGAGAAAGGCATAGGATCCCTCAGAACTGGAGTTATGGCAGGTTGTGAGCTGCCTGCTATGGGTGCTGGGGACTGAACCTGGGCCCTTTAGAAGAGCAGCGATTGCTCTTAGCCACTGGACCCCAGCATCTCATCTCCCTTTCTACTTTGTGTATTGTTTATTTATTTGTTTGGAGCTGAGGACCGAACGCAGGGCCTTGCACTTGCTACGCAAGCGCTCTACCACTGCGCTAAATCCCCAACCCCTCTACTTCATTTTTAAATCCACGAAAGAAAAAACCGAAATACAGACAGTCTGGAAATCCACTCACTGGTTTTGCTTTTTGCCTACCTGTTTGTAACGGAGGCACTTCCATCGACAACCTAGATGGATATGTTCCCTCCCTGACCTGAGTCTCCTTCCTTTTTTAAAAAATTTGTTTATTTATTTTAATTTATTTTATTTTACTGTGTAAGGTGTTTTGTTTGCACATACATCTGTGCACCATGTGCGTGCCTGGTGCTGGAGGAGGTCAGGAGAGGACATTAAATCCCCTGGAGTTATAGTTATGAGGTACCATGTAGGAGCTGGGATTGAACTCAGGTCCTCTGGAAGAGCAGCCAGCTCTCCACGCCCTCATTGTCCTTTTCCTGTGCGCCCTGAGCTGTACAAACATTCTGATGTCTCTCTCTGTGTTGGGGTTTGGGTGGCCCTAAGGCTGTCCACTTTAGCTCCTTGCTTCTACCTCTCCTCTGCTGGGGGATCTTGTTACTGTGGCTTCAGCTTTGACTAAACGTTGGTGTGTAAGTCAAAAGAAGTTTGACCAACTTCACCAATGCCACGAGAGTAACTGTGAAATGGACCTGGTTCAGGAGTGCCCCAGAAAGCAACATTTGCCAGGTTTGACCACTGTGACGGGAGTTCCCGCAGAGCTTGGCAGCTGGTTTGCCTCCGGGAGTGTTGTTAGCACCTGGGCCTGGATCTACCCTTTGTGACAGCTACCTTTTGTGTCCTCGACCTTTGGTTGGAAGTATGTAAATCTTATATGAGAGTTCCTAAATGCTCAAAGCCTATGTAAAACTTGGTTGTGGGAGGACTCAGAAAACTGAGATGTCCTGTGACTAGGAATTGCTTTGGCATTTGTCTTTTTGGGGAGCTTGAGATAAGAGGGTTTGGTATGTGGAAATTGACTTGCTAGGGTGTAAATTGTGTAACAATAAAAAAGCCTTTTGCAAAGCTACAGTTAGTCAGTTCGCCAGGGCTTGAGTTCCCTGCAGCTGCAAGGCTAAAAATCATCGTAGAATGACTCTGTTTCTTCCACGAACCCGCATGAGCCAAACATCTGACACAATAGACCACATGGAGGTGTTTCTGGAGCATGCTTAGATGCCTGTTTTGTTTATCATTTTGGATTCCTGCTCTGAGTGTTGAAAGTATAAGGAAGCGCTCTTCTTATTACCTGGTTTTGGACACCCTGCAAAAGGAGATTTGGTGATGGCAGTGGCATCTTCCTCCTTCTCCTCTTCTTTTTTTCTTTCTTTTTTTCTTTTTCTTTCTTTCTTTCTTTTTTCTTTTTTTCTTTTTTTTGGTTTTTCAAGCAGGTTTCTCTGTCTAGCCTTGGCTGTCTTGGAATTCACTCTACACCAGGCTGGCCTCGAACTCACAGAGATCCACCTGCCTCTGCCTCTCGAGTGCTGGGATTAAAGGCATGCGCCACCACAGCCTGGCCCCCTTTCTATTTTTATTTATGTGATTATGCGTGAGTGTATGACATGTGTATGCAGTGCTCACAGAAGCCATTGAGGGCGACGGGTCATCTGGAGCTGGAGTGGTTGTGAGCCACCATGTGTGGGCTGGGAACCAAACCTGAGTCTCCTGGAAGAGCAGCCAGTGCTCTTTACTGCTGAGCCATCTCTCCAGACTCATTTTTAAAAATGGACTGATTTATTTATTTATTCATCTCTCCAGCTCTGCTGCTGGGAATCTTAATATTCATGGTTTATTTAGGTGGTGTGTTGACAGGGTTTATGCGAACACTGACAGGTAAATGTGCCTACCTATATGGACAATTGCATTTAATTAAAAAATCTAAAGCAGAATAAAACCTCTTTTGGAAAAAATGGTTAGCCTACCAGTTCTCAAATTAGATCGCTCAGTCATTGCCCTTTTCAGCTGACATTTCTGGCTATCCTCCCCGCCCACCCGCCCGCCCGCAGGAGTCCAGTTAAACCCAACCTGCAGACTCGCAGGTGAAGCGGCACTGGCGGACTACAGCTCCCGGCATGCTCCTGTATGCTCGGTCACGTGAGCGTCCGGAAGCTCTGGCCACATCGCGCTGGGTGAGGTGGCGGCGGGGGCGGCGGGCAGCGGACTCTAGCGGAGCTGGTACTTCGGCGGGTCTCAGGTGCGAGCCTGCGAGCATCTGGGTGCTCAGGGCCCTGGCCCGGCTGGGTGCGCGGGGACTCTCGGGTGCGGGAGGCGCGGGCAGCTGGTGGGTGTGGCGGCGCGGGCACGGCTAGCCGCTGGACCCCACCGGACCCCACCGGAGCTCCCGATGCCGCCGCCGCCGCCGCCCCTGTGCCGCCCTGAGGCTGTGTGCACCGCAGGGGGAGGAGGACACCCGAGAGGGAAAGTGGCCAGCCCAGCCCATGTGGACGCCCCGGCCGAGGGGGACTTGTACCCCTCGGACCACCGGTCCCTTGGCCTTGGATCATGGGACATTGAACTGAAGAAAAATGAAATCCAAGAAGAGGGCTCTGGTTTAGCAAGAGGAGGGCCACGTTTTAGATAGGGTGGGAGGCTTTGGGGTAGGATGTACCGAGGTCAGAGAGGAAGAACGGACTTCGTGGAGAAAGTAGGCTTTTGTTTTCTAGTAACTACCGGGACTCAGTTGAGGAATTCGGCTCTGTTACTTATTTGTCATTCTTCGGCTCTTCTTATTTGCAGAATGTGGCCTGTCCTTAATTTTGATAGGGACAATGGAGATGTGTCCACTTAGTTTTAATGTTTTCTGAAATATGTTAGGCGATGCCGTGCTAACTTACTGAAATGTTTAGAGGAAGCAGAGTTGCCAGGGCGAGCAAAACCAGACTCGTAATTGCTGGCCTCTTTAAGCATTGCTTGCTGTCTTCACACACGTTTCTGTGTTTACGGGATCATCGCCGATGAAAAGAGCGCCTTCACTTCTTTGAGGTTAGATTATTTCTCCGCCATTTGCCAGATGTTTCCTGTATGACAGACTCGGCCCTGAAAACCCAGTAAATCGTTTCATTTAAATCTTAAGTGAGGAAATTGAGCCTCAAAGAAGTAAACCAAATGGACTTGAACTTTTCGTGTCAGAGCAGTGTGTGGTCGCTCTCTGCTTTCAGGAGCAAGATCAGTGTTCATTGTCTAAGGTTCTGGATGGGTGCCTGTTCATCGGCGAGGATGGCATGGTTAGTGCTTTGTCTGGAGGAGGGAGGAGAAAGTTGTCTTTGATACGTGTCCAAAATATGTGATACAGAAAATATGTGATCGTAGGAACCTTAGTATAAAAGGATATGGTTTTAGGGACCATGAAACAGATAGCTAGGTCCTTAAACATCTTTGATAATGAGTCAGTTTTAAGAAAAAAGGAGTTGGGTGGTGGTGGCTCACACCTTTAATCCCAGCACTCGGGAGGTAGAGGCAGGCGGATCTCTGTGAGTTAGAGGCCAGCCTGGGCAACAGAGTGAGTTCCAGGACAGGCTCCAAAGCTACACAGAGAAACCCTGTCTCAAAAAACAAACAAACAAACAAACAAACAAACAAAGGAAAAAGGATTACTAGATTTGGTGTGTGTGTGTGTGTTTTGACAGATGTCATGCAGTCCAGGTCACCTCCATCTCCCTATGTAACTGAAGATGACCTTGAACTTCTGATCTTCCTATCTGAAGTGCTAGGGTTGCTAGTGTGTACTACTGTGTCAGATGGGTGTGTGCTGGTCAAGCAATCTACCACTGAACTAGACCCTGCTTTTAAGTCAGGTTGTCAAATCAGTGTGCACTCTGCCTGTTTTTGAGACAAGGGATTGCCTGTTTGTAATCCAGCCTGGCCTCAAATTTGGGATCCTTCTGCTGGGATTATAGGAGTATACACCTGGGTAGGCTTGAGTTTTGAAAAGAGAAGGGATGGTACCGGTGAATAGCTTCTAGTGAGATGAGAGGTCAGAAAGATACTTTGTAAGTGCTGAGTGTTGGCATACACAGTACTGTGAAATCGCCAAACCCAACCATCCGTCTAGGGTTTTTCACCCTACCAGTACTTTGAGTACATATAATCATTTTACTCAGCACATGTAAAAACTAAATCCTTGAAGAGTCAGATGATTGCCAGTTCTGTATGTTTGAGGGTGTAAAGGGAATCACATTTGTTTATAAGTTGGGCTTTTCTCATCCTCAACGACATACCAGTGAATTTAAGCTGTGGTAATTCTAATTATGTTTTACGCAGTCTGGGATGTTTTCTCTTAATTTTCCACTTACACAGCATAATATGGAGTCTAGTTAGGTCTGGGTTTGAATGTTTATTTTGTTCTTCAAGAGAGATTACTCTCTGATACCTGTTTCTCATCTTAAAACTACCTGGAGAGCTATGATTATATATGCAGAGACCCTATGGGGTGCTGGTGCCTTGTAGGCATTCAGCTAACGAAATCATTGACCCTGGGCCTTTAATTTGGGAGGCAGAGGCAGGTAGATCTCAGTGAGTTCAAGGCCATCCTAGTCTCTGTCTACAGAGTGAGCTCCAGGACAGCCAGGACTACACAGAGAAACCCTGTCTCAGAGAGAGAAAGAGAGAGAGAGAGAGAAAGAAAGAGAGAGAGAGAAATAAAGAGAGAGAAAGAGAGGGAAAAAAGAATTGATAAAGTATTTTCTTTTTTCAATTGGTCTAAGTGCTCTGGGAGGTCCTGGGGATACAGCTGTAGAATTAGGACAGAGAAAGACACCTTTTTTTTCTTTTTTCAAATGGAGTTTATAAATGAACAATAAACTTATAAATCATTAAAGAAGCAGAAATGGGAATAGAAACTTTTTATTTATTTATATATAGTACAGGGACTTGAACTCGGGGCCTTTCATATGCTAGGCAAGTGCTCTGCCACTAAGCCATATCTGGCTCTATTTTATTTTTGTTTCGAGGCAGGATCTGAGTGTCAGCCAGGCTGTCATCTGTTACCGCGCTTTGTAGTCCAGACTGCCCTTGAAATTGCAACTTCCATGTTGGCTTTATCTCCATGCCCAGTGTGTCTATTGTTTTGAAATGAAGTCTTGTTACCATGCTGACCTTGAACCTGTGGGTGCTCAAGCGATCTTACTTCCACCTCCCTCATAGCTGGGGCAGTGTGCTGCAGTATCTTGTTTTTGCCTTGTTTGTGGGAACTTTTTTTTGGTCCTCTGAAGATAGGGTCTCACTGTGAAGCCCCGACAAGCCTGGAACTAACTTGCTTTGTAGACTAGGCTGACCTCAGACACACAGAGATCTGCTCACCTCTGCATCCCGAGTGCTGGGATTAAATGTGTTTACCACCACACCTGGCCCCAAGTATTTTTGATGAGTGGTCAGAGTGGCCTCTGGGGAGGTGACATCTGAGTAATGAGCCAAAAAGAGGGAGGAGCAGGCTATCGGAAAGAACCAAGAGAAAAGCACAAAGGCCCAAAGGAGATGGCCTGGCGGGTTCAGGGCTTGGAGATGGGGGTAAGTTTAGGAACGGGGGCGGTGGGGGGGAGGAGGCCGGGGGACAAAGAGTAGATTGTGGCCTGGCAGAGAACTGGAAGCCATTCAGCCTCCCAGTGGGGGACTGGTAAAACAGATAGAGATTTGTTCACATAATGGGAACTGCACATGCTTAGAAGCAGCAGGTGGGTAGGTGCTGGGAAAATCGATTGCTTCTGCTGGTGAGGAAGAAAAGGTCCTGAATTGTGTGTGTGTGTGTGTGTGTGTGTGCGTGTGTGTGTGTGTGTGCGCGCGCGCTTGGAGGTATATTTGTCTAAAGGGGCTCTGCTTGGGGTGAATGCGGAGATACAGAATCTGCAGGAACGGGAGAGGAACTGACCAGACAGGGTCTTTGGAGACGGGGTGGGCGTGAGAGTTTACTATCACTGTCTACCCTTTCATATCGTTCGCCGTTCTGCTGTGTGGTCTGGATGCAAGGTGTCTTCCCGCAAAGCATTTGTTGCCGTTGTGATCAGCAGGTGGTTGTGATCAGCAGGGGGCGATGCTGTTGAGTGTGATTGCATGGGCAGGATGCTGACTTCATCAACAGGCTAAGCTACTGATGGGTTCAGTAGGCAGACTGGAGGTCAGTCTTGGTGGAAGTAGATCATGGGCGCCTGCTTTGAAGGGTTTGTCTTGGCTTGGCCCTTCGCTTCCTTAGCTGCTGTGAGGTGGGCATTCCCCCTTGCCATGCCCTTTCGCCTTGATGTTCTGCCTGGCCATCGGCCCAGAGTCAGTTGAACCGAGTATGGAGTGAGGCCTCTGAAGCTGTGAGCCAACGTAAATCCTTCTCTTAAGTCTTTTGCATCAGGTATTTGTCTCAGTGATGGGCAAGCTAACGTATCTGCCTTGCTCATCTACTTCCAATTGGAAAGTAAAATAAAACAACTTTCAGCCATTCCAGCTCAGTCATCTATGCGGGCAGACCTGACCAGCCCCAGCTGTTCCCTACCCCTTAATCATGCTCGGTTCTTACAGGGAACTAAGGCTGGGAAGGTTCTGCAAAGACTGTGTTGTTGTTTTTATCTGTCTTTTGGAAAGCCATCAAAAGGTTGTGAACAGAAGTTGATTCATCCACTTTTTTTTTTTTAATGGGGCTACAGATGAACCTGGGGCCTTGTATATACATCTTATCCTTGCACCATAATGGTAGCCCTTGATTTATGAGTTTTGGGGACAGAGTCTACATAGCTAAGGCTGACCTCAGAATCAACAGTGGTCCTGCCTCAGCCTCCTAAGTGCTGCTTACACATGTGTGTGCCACCCTGCCTGGTGGTGGGATTGATGTTATAAAGTAACATGGAGTGTGTGAAGAATCATTTGGGGGTGCTGTGAATGTAGAGGGAGCACAATCCTGTTCGAGTCGGCAGGTGGGAGATGAAGGTAGATTGTCTCGGGGTGGTGGCAGGGGGATTCATTGGGATATGTTTGGAGGTAAAGAGGGCTGCATTTAGTAAGGGGCTGGGTGTGGAAGCTCAAGAGAAAGGGGAAAACGAAGGATTAATCCTGTTTACTTTGTCCGCAGGAGGGATGGTGGTGGTATTTCTGAAGTGCGGAATCGCAGGGGAGGAATAGATCTGGAGGAAAGGGATCCCATTTTAGATCTGTGGAGAGATACCATGTAGTCATTTGGGACCCTGGAGTGTCAGGGTTAGTGGCCTAAAGGAGTGG